CTTTCTCTCTTGCATCCTGGAAGACCATGAGTGGTAGGACCTTGGACATCTAGCTAGTTCATTGAGAGGGTAGCTGGTGTTCATGACTGAACAGCAAGGAAATGGATGAACCAAAGGTCCCACTTCTAGACTACTAAACAAGAGAGGAAACATCTACTGTGCTTAGTCCCTGGTACCTTGGTAATGGTTGCTTCAGCTGGACTTAGGCATGTCTGAGCATCCAGATGGAGACGCAGCACCCTGAGTGTCTATCCCCAATCCTACATGTCTACGGTTCCACCAGTCGTTCAGATGCAGCTGAAATGCGCTCTTCTCACGACAGTGTGCTGATGAGCCCCCAGGTTTCCTCCAGCAGCAAACTGCATGCTTCTATGCTGAGTAGCACAGCTACTTATATGTATTTTCCTCACTGAGCAGAATATTTTCGTTATGAATGAAATTCTTTCCACACTTCTTAACTTTTCTACCAAACTATAATATCCTGCAGGGGTGAGTCTGAGTCTGAGCCTAATTCTGACCCAGCATGTCTAGCTGGATTTCTTTTACTGAGTAGAAGAATAACCTATATTTGCATTATAGGTTAGCTCAGTGACGTTCCTAATGATAATTGGTGTTCTTATAATTTTCCTTCATAAGTTTTGCAACAGGAAACTGTTTAACTCATCACACACAATCAAAAAGTGCCATTTCTTCTCACCTCCTTTCTGAAAACATCCATTCTTTTCAAGTGAGTCCTCCAGGAATGTGCCTGCAACCTTCCCTCAGAAAAGGCTTGCTAGCTGCCATGGCTCCACACCTGCTGGGTTCAGTCTTCTGAAAGGGTTGGAAGTCCTATCTGGAGAGTGAAGTATTTTAAAAGCAGATCCTCTCCATGTGGATGCTTTCCCCTTGTCCTCATGGTTGGCAATGGCACCAGCTGCACCCAGGAAAGCTGCAAGTGATTCTAACTGGGGTCTTCTATCTCATCCTAGACCTGCTACTGACTTAAGCCCCTGCATTCTCTGTGTATATAAGAAGTTCTGGAAGGATCAAGAGTGAGGTCGTGATGTTTGATGAAGTGACTCAGGGTGTGTGACCCTTTGATGATGTGTCGGATAGTTGGAGGTACAGGAAGGCTGTCTGCCCCCAAGATACTGATCTATCCTTTTCTGAATCTACTGGCATGTGGAACATGCACATAGAAGCGAGCACACACACACACACACACACACGCACACATGCACACACACACGTGCATACAGATAGAATGTCAACCCCTCTCCCAAGGGCATCTTTGTACAATGCGCCTGGGATTGGGGGAGAGGGGACAATGACAAGAAAATAAAAGATCCGAGGGAAACACTAAAGAGATTACAGGTTGATTAGAGTACAGTGATCTTCACCTTCTTCTTTAAGATTTTATTTGTTTCTCAAATCTAAAAATCTCTACATGTAGGTTTTTATAATTAGTAAGGAAATAATTGCTTTACACAACTAACAGCTGTCCTTTCCTGCTGTGTTTGGAGATTTTGCATCTCTTAGGCTAAGAATCCTAATTTCACTGACACAGAAAACATGAGGATGCTGGGACTAACTCTATAGATAAACAGGCCTTGAAAATCAACAATAGAAAGAAAGGCCTTATAAAGGTGGATCCAGTTGATACTGGAGGATGCTGCACAACAGACATTTGTAATCAACCACAGCACTCTCTGATAGTAGCTGTGACTCTGGGCTCACCGGGTAGCCTGTCACCCAGACTGGAAGCAAGGCCACATTTGCATTCTCATAGGGAAACTAACATATTTAATATGTCCTGTTAGTTTAAGCTTACTTGCTTTGGAAGGACCATCAGGCTATGAGAAGATTGTTTCCGTTTCTACTGTCTTGATCCATATAGACTTTTTTATGACATGAATGAGCTTTGATACTAGAGAAATGGATTATGTAAAAGGCAGTTTCTGACTGTTCTAGGAATGCAAATGGAATGAGCACTGGCAGGCCCATTTTCCACCCAGTGACAATTGGCTGGATCTGAGCAGAAACTGCTTCCTTCAGGACAAGATGTGTGCTACCCAGCTCAGCTTGACCATCCTCAGTCCTTTGGGCTCTGCTTCTGTTCAGCTTGGTAACCAACTCTCCTGCAGAAATTTTGCTTTGTGATCCTTGCATTGTAACCATTTTGCCTACACAGGAAAAGTGCATGAAGCTGTCACGTGCGATGGCCACACTATTCACCGCCTCTTTGTGAGTTACAGTGATACTAGAAGACTGTGGTCCTTAGGGAAACAGAGGCCTCTCCACTGTAACCTACAATCCTCGTCACTTTTTTCTGTCTCGATCCAAAGACCAGGAACTGGAGGGGCAGCTCTGCTTCAGGCTCATTTACCCCCTACAGGCTAGCGGCTATTTAAAGTTCCAGAGAGCCCTGAAGGACTCTTGATGCACTTGTGACCATTTAAGATGCAGAAATTTTTGTTTTGTTTTGCCATTTTTGAAGGACTTCATTAACATGCCAATTGGGCTTTCAGTGATCACACTTAAGATATTCCTCTATGAGTGGACTCTGGTGTCATGACCCTCATAACAGCCACACCAGGGCACATATGTGTGCATGCAATCAGCTGGCAAAGGAATATCCCCAGATCCCGGGAGGACAGCTATTCCATATAACAAGGGCCATGGCATTTCCTTTGTGTGGCTACAGACTTGTTATAGGCAAGGAGCCAGACCTGCTAATGCATTTATTACAAGGTTGAAGAAGAGCAATCTTCCCTCCAAGGTAAAACAGAGAGGCAAACCCTAATTTTGGTTGGCTGGGAAATATGGTTGCCCTTAGGAAATAATGCTGATGCTTCATTTATACAAAGACTCACTAAATGATGCTTTTACCATTTATGATTCTTCTCCATTCTCTCATTCCTGATTGAGCTTAGCCAGTATCTTAATGCTACTACAAGGTTCACAGTTCAAGTGCAGAAATTCTTTGTCATTACTGATCATCCCAAGCATAGAAGACAGATTCATAATGAACACCTTAGTGAGAAAATATCCCAAAATATAAAGTTCTAACAGACATATTAACCTTGACACAAGCAAGATACCCCAAAATCTGGATTTGACAATTAGATCTGAACCTTACTAGATATTCTACTCCAAGCATTTATGAGCAAACTTTGCCACCAATATAAGTTAGCTATTGCTGAATATAACTTGGTATTAGATCCTTTGGCACAATCTTTTGCTTGAATACCTCCTCCTTTTTGAAATCATCCTAATCCCAAGTGTAGGAAAAGCCTCCCTCCTCCCCAGAACCTCTGGTGTGTATCGAGAGTGAACGATGTCATTTTTAAAGGGTGCACTTTGCTCACAACATTGAGATGGCATCACTGTGTTTAGGATATGGAAGAGGACTAGACTCATATTCAACCAGCGTTTGGCAAAGGTGAGAAGGCGGATGATGGCAGAATAGGAAATTCAAACTGGACACACGAGACACTTGGGTCTACTTACCTTAAAGGTCCGGCTCCTTCTACGAGGTCTGTGTGTACATTGCTTCTGTGACTTGAGTATGATTTTCATTTTATTAGTGATGAAGTCTAAATATCTTTTCAAATGTATCAAAACTCACTTTTGTCAGGAAGCCCCTATACTTGTCTCTTCTTTTCCCTCTTATATATGCTCTCTAATAATTAATTTCTACTTAATGTTTTTCTCTCGGTGATTAACTGAGCACCTGGAAGGTGAGAGCTTTCTCGTGCTTTTTCATCTTCTAAATTCTTCTCACAAAGCACAGACTTTGGGTGGATGAACGGATAAGAAATCTCTGCCCTTTCATGTTAATCTCAAGATACCTACCTTAAATTTTGAGTTATTCAGAAATTCTATCTTGAGCAAATAGATCATTTACTTAATTGAGCTCTTGTTTAGGAAGTTTCCTGAGTTCCATTTCTGGGTTACTTTTTTTTTTTCAGTGCTGCTATCAAGGGAGAATGAACAACTCATTTCAATGTCAGCCCCGAAAACAGGATAACCTAAAGGACAGTGTATCACAGATTCGGATCATTCCTTTAAAGTCTACCATAAATGACACCATGCTTCCTTTCTTAAGGATGTCATTTGTTCTGTTTACCTGTTTCTGCATTTCATTCATTCCATGAAGTTACACAGAAACCAAAGAATAAGAGACAATGGACACAAAATCTCGAGACAATCATTCCGACTCGGTAGATGGGGAAACTTCAAGATGACTGAGGGGAAGAGGAGAGTCAGTTAGACTCAGAAAGCCAATGGGTGAGGTCATGAGGTCAGCAGCATGCAGGCTCATTACTGAGTCTATAAAGTATCCTTCAGAAATAAAGAAGGCTTCTAGACGTTGGTGATGAAAGGAGGGAAACCAGCAGCTGTGTGTGCCTGTGCTATATCACACAGATAAACCAGGCACAGCTGGACACAGGGAAGAGCTATTGAAGATGTTCACCAGGAAGGATGTAAGTTGGTCGCTAATTTTATATGAGCTGTCAAGGTAACTTACTTTAAGTATGCCTGATAATGTAATGTCCATAACCTTTTCCTCCTTCGTCCTCCGTTCATCTCCTCCCACCGCCTCCTTTCTCTCCTGCTCTCCCCTCCCCCACCCCGTGTGTGTGTACACATACGCACCTTCATTGTTAATTTGGTACCAAATCAAATTGTGGATGTTACTGTTAGCCATCAACTCTTTAAACTCAGATGACAAGACACTAAAAACACAAAATAAAATCAACAGTGGTATGAGTCTCACTATTTTCTTTTTGTTTTCTTATCATATGAGGCAAAAAACTTCTAGTGACCCCCCAAAAGTTCTAATCCATTAACCAGAGATTTTATTTTGCTCCATTGACTGCCTTGATTTTCATTGAGCCTTTGATTGAGACTGCTAAATCCCAGATGATATCAGGCAGGTGGCCACTTAGCCAATTATTCAAGAAAACACAGAGACAAGAGTTAAGAAAAACCAAACAAGGCACAAAGCTACAACATTCTACATCAATAAAAGTTTTAATGTACACTCAACTAAAAGATGCATATAAGGATGACGGAATCTCCGTTCACAGGCAGCAAACAAGATTAGAATTTATCAAACAAAAGTCCAGGTTGTGCATTTAAAGATTACAAACTATTAAAGGGGAAGGGGGAAAAAATAAAGTTAACAATGGAAGCATTAATGACCTTAAAATGGGATGGGATGATTAAAGAAAGAATTCAAGTATTGTTGTAAAGTTTTTTCAGACATCATCTCTGAAAAGCTGTGCATTTCCCATCTTTGCATAGTGGAAACAAAAGACAGCACGTCACTTGGCAAAATGCCACAGCTCTATGGGATTCGTGTTTCAAACATGCACCTATGTGTACTGCTCACTTAGCCGGGAGGAGTAGCTCTAACTCAGTGGGCTCATGCACTACCCCAAGTGAGCAATGACGCTAGCGTACACCTCCTCGTCCAGGTGTCATTCATTACCGCAGCAAAAGAATAGCAAGTGAAATGGGAACTCGGTCTTCACTGAACAGTCTTGTTGGGTAACATTACACAGTGGCCAGCTTGTGGTCTGAATTCGGATGGATAAGAAGGAGTATTCACACCACGAATAAATGGCGTGGGCGAGAGAAAAGGTAGCGAAGGGTTGGAAACTTCATAACCTAACACCACTGAACATGACGCTAACCCACTGCGTACAGTATGACCGCACTCCCCTTCGTGTCTGTGCACACATAGCTTAACACTTGTGCATTTTACACACACACACACAAATAATTTAACATTGGAGAACAGGTTTGCCTACCTAGGAAACTGTCAGTGTGACCAAAAGGTACACTGACATTTGTCATATGTACATAATATTTGGGGACCACTGTGGTCTGATTTAAAACACAGTAACATCGCACATTTACAATGTTGTTTGTGAAATGCTCAGAAGTTAGCCATAGAGATCTGTTTTCTAACTGGCATGGTTTCGTGTCCAATAAAGTCACACGGTGCCTCGGAAATCGTGAAATGAGTAGTGTGGGTGTCAGCTGCTTGGTGTAAGTGGACCCCTTGACAATGCAACAACAGGGAGCGACACCAAGTTATCTGAATTTTCTCCAACCTTCCTCCAAGCTGAGCCACTGCCTTTCCATAAAGGGGTGCAACCTGTGTCTTATAAAACCAGGAATAAGGCCAATAAACCTTATAGATAGCCCTGTTGTTGCTATATGAGCAAACAGCAAGTTCAAGCAAGAGACTGCATACCTGCATAGCACCTGATTCCCAGAAAGTCACCCGAGGGTTCAGATGTTAGGTTATGGTCTGGGGTAGTATACAGCAATCAAGATGTCTGCGCTGCGAGTGTGAGACTTCAATAACTAAAGATATCTGTGAGGGAGGAGGGGAAACTCCAGCTCTAAGCAGCCCGTTTTCAGGAAATCCTCCCTCTAGTCAAGAAAAATGTAAAACTCGCTGCATGAGTTTTGTTGGAAAGGGGTTTAAAGCTAAGTGCAGATCTTGGGGGTTTAAATTTTAGATGGGGTTCACTGAGGCCATCCTGTACAAGTCTGAAGATCTAAAACAAAGATGGCAGAGAATTTCTTCAGTAACTTGTTGCCCTAACACTTCCAATGGAAGCTATCCTGGCTATACGTTAAAGAAGGAATGGGTGAAGGAAAGGTGAGGCAAATTCAGAGTCTCAGGAATGCCAAGATTCTCTCTCCCCAGGAGGGAAAAAAAGATTGTGGGTTCATATGTGCTGGAACCCCATTACAGTCCCCCACAGTCCACAGGCCAGATAAACACCGAGGGCCAAGCGAGCTCCTGAAATCACCAAGCTGAATGACAGGCAGAATGACCAGAAGGCTACCCGCTACTCTGCCCCATTGCACTGGCGTTCTGAGCATCGCACTGGCGTTCTGAGCATCGCACTGGCGTTCTGAGCATCGCACTGGCGTTCTGAGCATCGCACTGGCGTTCTGAGCATCGCACTGGCGTTCTGAGGCGGGAAGATGAAGCATAAATGAAATTTGACAAAAATATATAGGAACAGAATGGAAAGCTTAACTTTTCTCCAAGCTTTCAACATTGAAAAATTATTAATTTTTATTTAAGGCTTTAAGTTTCTCCTCCTTTCACATTTAAGACAGGGAAAGAGAACTGGCTAAACCAAAAACTAAAATCATGAGCTTGGCACTTTTGTGATTCATTTGAGAAGGGTCTCTGTTTTCTTACATTATATACATGTGCTTATGATGACATCAAAAATTTAGACTAATCAGAACATATATACTCACATTTACATAATTTTTGTGTTCTTGATATGGGTTGTTTTGTGTCCTCTGCTTTTTTTTTCTTAATTTTGGTTTCAAGCATAATTGCTTTGTTTTGTGCCCAAACTCCCTGTATCTGGGGCTACGTCTGTTTTGTTAAGCAAGCCCAACAATCATTGGACATGTTATAAGAGAGGACAGAGAAAATGAAGGAAAGAAAATGAGAGAAAAGAAAGAAAAAGAGGACGCGGAGCAAGCAACAACTCATGTAGGGAGAATCTTCGCAAGGAAAACATTCCAATATAGACAAGAGAAAATGGCATGTCAAAATCTCCTATTTCCATATTTACATTTACAAAAGAACTATACAACAGCATTATTCAAATTCCAGATCCTATTTCCAGCGGATGCTTGGTCTAGGGGAGAAAAAGATGGGGAAAGGGAATTCAGCAAGAGTGTAGTCTGGCTCAGTGCTGCCGTGGGTTGGTCTGGAGTAGGAGGAACACGGAGGTGAGGGGAAGGGATGGGGCGGGGGCGGGTGGAGAGGATATGGAAGGGGGATGGGGGAGGAGGTGTTATCCAGGCCTAGGCAACTTCCGTGTGTTCATCTGTCATCTTCCCCTTAGGACTTCCACTGTAGGTTTGGCTGAAGATCGGCTTGCTAGCTTGGTGTTATATATGCCATGCAGTTTTTTTTATCCTTTCCAAAATTGGATCTTCATGCCACTGGAGTTTGTCTTGGATAGTAAAGGGGAAAATCATGCCAAATCACTTAGAAGATATTAAGTGTCAGCAGGCTAAAGGGGAAATCATTTGCTTTGTGTTCTTTATTGCACTTTGCTGTTCTTCCTTTCTCCTTTAGTTAGAAAGAAAAAAAATAGAGGATTCTAAACAGTTTTTTTTTAAATGACATGGTCTTTAGCCCCCTCCCCTTTATTGACAGGTGACAGGAGGGTTTACTTGAAGTTATTTCAAAAAGGGACAGTTGTCTTGTACCCCATCCCCATTTCCACATTTAAGTTCTGTAGTTATTACCACCCAATGGTCTTGTTTCCAGACTTCAGAGTTCCGGCAGCACGGCTGAAAACCCACCACACCCAGAACCCAACAGTACAAGGTGGCCTTCCTCCAGTGTGGCTGACTCAGATGGGGCCTTGCTGAGTAGGATCGAACCTCCTCTTCTTGACGTTTCTTCCAGAGTACATTAAAAGAAGATTCGGGAAAAGGGAAAGAAAGGCCACAATATTAATCAGATGAGGTTGAGGGATAACGGATGGTAACAACAATGGTGCTAGTTCCAGCGCAGAGTAACCAGCTCACAAGGAGGCAGTCTCCAAAGTAACCCAGAACATGGAAGAGCAAATGTGCTGGAATGGTTTCCTGCTTCCCCACGAGATGACAAACTTCAGGGAGGAGCAAGAGAAACTTCAGATTATTCATTTTCAATCACAAATTGGACTGATTCCAGAAGTAAATGCCATTGCTAATTGATCAGAGGAAAAGCACTACAGGACAGCCCCTTCGGGGCTTCCTCCCGAGGGAACTAAGAACAACCCAGAAGGTCCTGGAGTTCTGTAGCAATGGAAGGCTCTTACATAGGTGGCAAAAACAAAAACAAAAGCCTTGCTGTGCCTGGTTATTTCTGCCTTGGGTGTGTGAGGTGGTATTCCACTATGGAACAAGCACTTTTAATGGCAGACAGAGTGCACGGGGAGGTGGTACACTCAGGAGAATGAACACAGGCTGGGTTAGCTAAGCAAATGCAGCAGCTAAGCTCTGCCGAGAGGAGCAAGTTCAAATGCCTTGCTCATAGTGTCCAGTCTCCTAGAAAGTGACTCCTGTGCAGAAACAGAGAGAGAGAGAGAGAGAGAGAGAGAGAGAGAGAGAGAGAGAACCAGCAAGACACAACAAGGCAACAACATGAGTTGACTATAACCTCCCCATGGTCTGGCTTCATGTGGGGCATCAAGCAAGGGGCTCATGCATTAGTCTGCAGACTGGCGGGTGCAACACTGCCACCACCAAGGCATCATGCAAAACTGGAGACTGAGGAGCCCTCTGCTCCCTCATTCCCACGCCCACATACTCGGGGCCAGCTGGATGCCTTCACAGGCCCTAAGCACCAAAGCATTGCAGCAGACTCCTCCTCACCCACGTCCTTCCAAACAAAACACAACCAAAGCTTGAAGCAGGCAGAAAAGTGCCTGCGAAGTTCCTGTCTTTCCCAGAAGACCCACCTGGCTGCTTCTCTTCTGAAATATCAAGCATTGCCGTCTGCGACAAAAATATCCCTTTTCTTTTTTCTGAAACTGCCATTGAAAAGCTTTTCACGAAAGCTTGGGCATGTTGTACTCTGGCTTAAGGACTTAATTCACTGCTGTAAACACTGTTTGCATTAGGGTTGCTGACTTTTCTTACCACCCAGTCCTCTGTGAAGTCAACAATCTTGACTGAGCACAGGCATTGCTGACTGCACTGGAAGCATAGGTAAGAATGCACGGGGCATCTCTAAAGTGTGTCTGCCACCAAAGGAACTCTGTGGAGCTCGGGACCTGCATCTGCCATCTTGGCTTGAGGCTCGTGCTCTCTGAGAAGATGTATAAGAGAGGTAATTCCTACTAAAGTCTCAGGGAAGAGAAACACCAACTGCCTGACCTTGAGAAATTCCCCCAGAGGACCAGAGACCCTACCCAAGTCAGCTGTCCATTGATGGAACTCAGAAGAACCATCAAATGTCAACCCAGAGGAGAGAACAAACCCAGCTAGCACTGAACAGGACGTGACCTCACTACCCAACTCGGAATTCTCTCATTCAAAGGCAGCTACCATTCAAGGTCAGAACAACTAGGCAGCCTGTTTTTAAGGAAAGATCTAAAATTCTCGTTCAGCCTATCACCCAGGAAACTCTAGTGTCCAAAAGTGTGTGTTCCTCTTAAATGTCAGTTTTTGAAGCGAAGATTGCACTCTTCCCATAGAACAACAGTCTACAGGGTTACCAGGATCTTGGGCCAGACTAAGAAGTCGTTACCCTATAGAGCCCTATGTTCCCACTGAGCAGTACTAACAGCAGACTGGAGAAGTCCCAACAGGGGAGAAAGCAAGCTGCAGCCCAGGGGAGAGGGAAACCAGAGATGAGGAGAGAAAGAACCCTGCAAGCCCTCTGTGAGGTTCCTTCACAGTTAAGCCATACATCCACTAGGGGCCACTGTACATTGAACACTGCCTGTCCTGGATTTTCTACATGTTCAGAAGGCTCTTTCTGTTGAGCTTTAGTGTGAAACTGAATACTATAATACATGGGTCCTTGCTGGCTCCCTTTCCAAATTGTTTTGTCTGAATGCCCTCTGCTCACTGAATTTCGAAGGTAATTTTGCTATTACAAGCAGAAAGGTATTTCTGGACCATCGTAAAATATCAACACGATTCCTTAGGATTACCATGACAACATTTTTACCATTTTTTTGTACTTGTGGGAAATCTAAGTTTTTGCCTAAATGCATGTAATTATATACATCCACATGACATTAAAACCTCTAGGTAACAAAAGATGGGTCCTCTGACAAGAATGGAGAGTTATCTACTACTACAACCTTTAACAGAATGATGTGGGAATGTTGTGCCTGAACGCATGTAAGTGCGTTCATTCATACCCAATGCCCTGGGATTGAGGAAGAGAGCACCAGCTCTGCCGGAACTGGAGTTTTAGACAGTTGCAAGCTACCACGTGGGAACCAAACCCCAGTCCTCTGCAAGAACACCGAGTGTTCTTCACTGCCAACCCATCTCTAGCCACTTATTGTCACATTCTTTATCTGAGTCCCCATGCCCATCAACAAAGACCCACTAACACACACTTAACCTCTAGGCCACCTTGCATTGAGCTCATTTCCTTGGGAGTTTGAGTCAGGAAAGTCATGCATGTTCCTGGTTGGCCTGGCATCATGGTGACGGATGAAGAATAAAGGGTCTAATCCAAGGGCTTGGACAACAAAAAAATGTGGCTCTGCACTCGAATATGGCATGGAATTTAGAAGCGAAAGCAACAATTTAGTTATTCTGCTCATAGGGAAACTGGATAAAATTTATTCCACTTCCTAACTTCAAGAAAATTAAAATAATTCCCTTCCCCATTGAGATTCAGTTATTTTTCTGGCTATAGCCTTTCAACTGTCATTTTAGAAGAGGACCAATTATGACAATCTTTTATTTGGATAAGAAATGGAATACAATGGAGCCCAGGCTAAAAAAAAAAATGGTTTCGAGCTAAGAGAGAGTGCTAATGCAAGTGCTTTCTCAGAGAGAGAGAGAGAGAGAGAGATGGAGAGAGAGAGGAGAGAGCCACCTGCGATAATCACAGGCTGATAAAGGAATATCTCAGCAAGAACTGCCCTAAGAGGGCATATAACTGCCCACACAGTCTCTGCTGGCAATGGCGGAAACCCGTTTGCCATTGGGACCTACGGAGATCAGGTGGGATCGTGGGGCAAGTGATCCTTTTCCAATATGAAGACACTATAACATGGTGGAACGGCCCACCCTCACTCTGGCATCAATGCCAGCAAATTACCTCACTGTCAGCTTCATGTCCTTCTCTTGCCCTGCCAAGAACTTTGTTTTCCCCATAGCTATTACTTGAAATATTGGTAAATATTGTGCTCATGGGCTCACATCTACATCCTTGGGTTCAAACTTTGGGTGCCGTGCTGACTAGGCGACAACTGCCAACTCAACCTAGCTCAAGTCATGGAGAGGGATGAGTTGCAACTGAGGCACACCTGTAGGCCATCTTAATGCTCGATGGGGGAGGGGCCAGCCCATTGTAGGTGGGGCATCCCCTGGCTGGTGGACCTGGGTTCTATAAGAAGGCAGGCTGAGAAGCAAGCCAGTAAGCAGGACTCCTCCATGGCCTCGGTATTAGCTCCTGCCTCCAGGTTCCTTCCCTGTTTTAATTCCTGTTCTGGCTTCCTTCAATAATAGACTATAATACAGAAGTGTAAGACTAACAAACCCTCTCCTCCCCAAGTTATTTTCTGGTCATGGTGTTTCATTGCAGCAGTAGTAACCCTAACTAAAACAGGGGGGGTTGCATAAGTAGTTTTCTTCAATGTAATAATAGCAGCACAGTTTATTTTTTAATGCATGTGCAAAATCTAGTTCCATTTTCCCTAAGCTTTGGGGAAGATGATACTAAAACAATCTATCATCTATTTTATCTGTTCAAATGTCCAGTAGAAGCCAGTTACTCTAGTAGTTTGGGTATCATTATTATTCAGTATGAATTAGGGACCAGGGGCCCGAGAGTCAACCGGGTCAGAGTTGGTGACTCCCTCACCACAGCTCACAACCTCATTCTGTAGACGAAGAGGAAAAGGATGGAACCAGGAAAAAGAAGTGCAGATGCAGGAAGAAGCAGGCAGGTTGGTGTGTCAAAGCCTACATTTGTTTTCCACAAAATGCCTCAGAATTAACCACAAGATTCTCAACACCTGGAAACTTAGCCAGTCAGTCATGCCTTAGTACCCTCCAGACCTCAAAACGGAGTCTGAATTTACCCAACATTACCGCATGCCCATTTGACATTACTAATATATCTGAATTCATAAATGTCATAACAAGAACCCCAACAAAGAGTACTCTTTTCTTTTTTGGGGAATTCTACAACTTTGCATGTGGAAGGCCTGTGGACATTAACCAAAGGTTTCAGACTCTATGATCTAAAAAGAAGCAACCTAAATTTGTGTTAATTTCAGATCACAATACATCTGATACATTTGCATAACGTTAAGAACATAAAGTGCACCCCCCCCCCATCCACATCCTCCCAAAGTCCTGTGGTTCAACATCTAACTCACAGGTGTGCTGTGAGGAAAGAATCAGTGAGACAATGGTGAGGGGAAGCGAAGTTGTGTCTCTGGCCTGTCTCCATATGCCTGTGCAGGTAAAGGGTGGGTGTGACTCTCCTCCACATCTAACCTACTCAGCAAATCACACCTAAGCGGAGGTGACAGCAGGGAAAAGTGCTATTTCCCCGAGCAATCGCACCTGTTTACCCACCCTCAAAGGTTTCCGGCAGCTTTGCTCTCTCCTTTCCCAGGAATAATGCCCCCATTTCAGGAAGGATTTCCAACAGCGCTATCTAGAATAATCTTCTTTACCAGCCATTTCCAATTTCTGCTTCTAAAGGAAACTTTTTATTTACACTGAAATCAGTGACACTCTGAAAGGCTTCCAACTCAGTTCTTCAAATTATCTCTGATCGTCTTCAAAACCGTCCACGTGGTGGGAAAACTTGAGCATGATTGCTAAGCACAGACAGCCTTCCATTGTGAGGTAGGAATAACAATTCCCAGCTCGATACAAACTACCAGGCCTTGGTAAGATCTAAAGTAAACAGCGTGGCAACTCGTAGCACGGAGTACAAGAGCGTCTCCAAATTCCAGTTCCAGAAGTTAAACAAAGGAGAAGTTAAAGCTTTGAGAAACATTCTTGGCCTGCTGTCCCCAAGGCATCAAAGTATTTAGAGCACATTCTGTGCAGGATTGTGCCTTTCTACACTTTATCAGAAGTGACAGCAGAAATCAGAAGGGGTTTTAACGGGGCTCCCCCTGAAGTGTCCCTGTACCACAGTCCCCACACCAAGTTGGCCGAGCAGGGTTTGAGCCTTGCTTGGTTGACAGTGACAACCCCTCACCCTGTGTCCTGCTCTTCCAATGACTGCACAGCTCTCTTAGTGGGGAATCGTTCGCACAGAGCCCAACCCACAACTCGACACAGTGCCAAAGGCTTCTCCCCAGGACATGCAGTTCAAGCTGAGAGCCAGCCAGGCTGCTGTTTGAGGTCCTGCTACAGAACAATGCGCTCTCCTCAAGAAACAGAAACTGCATCTGGCAACGCATGGCGTTGGGTGGCCATGAAGCGCAGGAGACAGTTTCTTGGGCCTTTGAAATGAAGGCTTCTTAAAGCCAAGGAGGTGCACACCACAGAATGAGCCGACTTTCTTTTCTGGGGGCGTATGTAATTTTTTAAAAGGATCATTATAAATAGAATGCACAATTTCTATAATATATAGTGACGTTTTCACAGTAGTGGGGCACTAAGAAAAGTTTTCCCCTGCAATGGGGAAAATCCAAAGGAAAACACACCACTTCGGAGATTCCCCTTATGTGATTCAGGATGGACAATGGTCTAAAATGAGAAGAAATCCAAATATGAGGGGCCTGTTCAGTTTGCGTGTTTCTGCCAGCATGCGGATGAGAAAAAAGTGCTATTTCACTACATGCAACTTTCTAGACAGCTGTGTAGAAGCCAAGCTCCATTCGATAAACATTCCGAGGAGAAGCCCCTCGGACTTATTCATTAAATCTTAACACCATAACAAATTAGCAGAAAAGGTTCATTTATTTTGATTATATCTTGGTATCTTTTCTTTCATAATCAACTTCTAATAATAATATTTTAACTGTTTTAATTAAGGCCACTACACGTTCCTTCCAAACAAAGCTTCTTCCATTGAGTGGTTGGATGGAAGCAAAATAGGGGCTTTGGTTTGACTGCAGGTTTTATTTCCCACTTAAATTCATCCCAAACAATCTGGATGAAGCTTAATTTATGAAAGAGGCTATATGGCAGAGGAAGGCTTACCTACAAATAATAAAAACCAAGTCACCAGAGATCAAAACGTATGGAAGTGATTCTCTATTAAATCTGAGATTCAAAATATCCAGAATAGATAAATCATAAATAGGTTTAAAAGCGTTAAACACAATAGGGTTTGTCTGTGATTATCCAGTATGGTCTACTTTAATAATCTTGCTTATCAATATGCAATCCAAATTAAAAGTTATTATGAAAGCATAGCAGGGCACTCAACCATGTAAATGTTACAGTAAAGGCCACAAAGCCATTGCTTTCAAATTCTGTTGGTTAGAGAAATAATAAAAGTATTTTTCAAGTATTTGTAAAGTAAATAATGAAGGTCTTCAAATTACAAAGTTGCATATGAGGTGATGGTCGAGTTTGTAGCTAACCCCCGTGGACTAGAATCAGTGTCCAGCAGAAACAATTAGGAATTTATGTGTATTTATGTCCAATATGTCTCCCTGGTTACCTAACTGTACCCAAAAGCACTCCCAGAGACTTGCTCCCACAAGCAAGAATGTCTCCTACTTAAGTGCTGTGGCTTCACATTCAAGTGACCACCGTCCATTGCCCATGCTTCCCTGTCTGCCTGGGGACGGCATTTGAAGCTCATGTCCTTCCTTTCCAACCCACTGCTGGGTAGAAGCACATTCTTTTTGTGGTTGTGCTCTTAACAACAAAGTCTCGTAGCAGGAACTCAAAACCAGGTTATGTAAGCAGAAAAGAGAGGTGCCCGAGCCACGGAGAAAAAGACATGCGGCATTGCTTACTTAAATCCCCAGCCTGTGCCCCCAAGGACAATAGCTGCTACCAGGATGGCACCAGCGATGGAGCCTATTATGAGATTGGTGGCACTAGGACCTGTGACAAAGGATCATGGGAAGAAAGTCATGTGAGCCAACTACTTCTGTTACCACAAGGGAAAGGCAGGTGAGCAGCTTCAGGAACTAAAACCCTGCTGTTCAAGGCCCCTAAATGTGCTTGTTCATTGCTTTCTTGTGTTAGCTTTAATCCCATGCCGGATGCCTCCATCAGTGATTGGTTGGATTAGTTGCCTTTGAATCTACCCTTTCCTTGCCATTAATGTTAAATTCATGTTCCTGAAAACCTGAAACAGAGCAGCCCCATCTGCTTTCAGGGCACGTGTGTTGTCTTTTCCTCCTCTTCCCCCATATCATAAATCAAACAGGTTTGTGCAAATAAAGAACACGGCTCCATTAGCACGGGCTCCAGCTGATTGTCAAATACAGGAGATAAATGATCCTGTGACCATGCTTCTCCAACCAAGAAGACAACCAACACAGCACATTCTTGATTTTTTTTTTTGTTCTATACTAGGAGACAGGGAGAATTTAGTCAGAAAAGGTCAACCAATAAAGATTTGGCTTTGAAATTTTGTCCTCAGATATTTCTTTCTGGTTCTTCAGTGTTAAATCCCCCAAACAGGCTTGCGGGTACAGGAGACCTAAAATTTATAAAAGTAATCTCTAGGAAACAGAGGAGGGGAAAGACTTTGTTATATTCCATTTGAGAATATCTTTTAAATTTTCATTTCTCACTGAGAAATCTGAAATGTGGCAACATATTTAAAAAGTGGAGAAGATGTCAAAGGCAACAACATAGTGAAGAGACCACCATTGATAGTTGGTAGAAATTACAGTAACTCCACTCTTCTCCTACATTCATCCCTTAAAGATTGAAACAAAGTTATACATAGTTTACATGTTTAAACTAAGAATGAAATTTCACATCCTGCAGTATCTACTATGCAAACACACAGCAGTGCCCCCAATATTCAAATACCTTCAAGTGCTAGCAACATATACCTGCCCGCAAGTAACAAACTAGCCAATTTTGCTGGTTTTCCTAAAACCCTTAGGTTTATTACAGACATTCATTGCCAGACGGAAGAATCTTTCTTTTCTCCTCACAGTAGTGGACACCGTTGGTGATGTCATCACAATTGTGATGGCTCTGCCCAAAAACCACGTAGAACTAGAGGTGGGGGTGGGTGTGTAGAGGGTGGTACAACAGAGTTGCAAGATGAGGTCTTCTTTGGTTCCTGGGTTTTGACATGCTCTTAAATCACAGAGGGTCTATAGAACCTGAATCTCAGTGGCCTTTGGAAACAGATTGAGGATAATGAATAACAGCAATGAGAATGATAAATGCCTTTGAGAGACTGTATAGTGAGCACCAACTCCACTCACATTTGACATATCTCACTGATTCCTCACCAAGGAACATGTGAGGCAGGGATGTGGGACATCCTGACTTCAAGACTTTTGTTAGAAATCAAGGGTCAGCAGACCGGAGCCCGCAGATCAAATTTGTCCTCACTATCTGTTAGGGCAAAGACATTTTGCTGTAGCAAAGCCATGCTTTTTTTAAACCTATATACTGACTATGGCTGCTTTTAGCAGCAATGTTGAATGGTTGTGATGGATACCTTGCAGCTAGGAAGACAAAACTATGGGCACCTGGCCCGTCACAGAAAGCTGGTGAATGACAGCTCTGATGAAACTTCACTCTACTTCCCACATTTCCTTCCACTTCTCCACGGTGCAATCTGCAGAAATTGCTTTTTCAAAAGTAGTCATAGTACCATGTATGCACCTACACTTAAGTCAGCTTGCATTCTGTTGGCTCAGAAAACAGGTTGAAATCAAATTCAATACAGAATCCACGAGAAGTGATTCCTGGTGTACAGCTCTAAACTAAGGAGTAGAAATTTAGAAGTTAAATCTGCCCCTGGAAGCCTTATTGATTAAGTGAACATTGCACTATCGAGAAATCCAGGAAGTATTAAAACTATGTTGTACTATATGGTTCTATTTCTTAAAAAAATTATTACTTATCAATTACAAATAAATGGAACTTGAAGGGGGAAAGTCAGTAAGCCACTAGAGAAAATGTTCATGAAACAAAAACAACATAACTTATTTTTATGGAAAACAGCGTACACTTACACACTTACCTGTCACAAGCATAAACAGCAACAAATTAGCCACACTGGAAAGGATGGATGGGAACAAATGCTGGCAACAGGGCTGTTTACAACAGAGGTTTGGTTTTTGGTGTGTGTGTGGGCCGGGGTTCCTATCCATCTCTAAGGCTTGAAGCATGACCAGAATTTACTGCTTTGGCTGTATCGGAAGGCACTGAAACTGTAGCCACTAAGCATCAATTGAGAGGATCTTTTGAAAACTACCTTTCTTCTTAGAAGAATTTCACATAAATTTCCATGCCTAGAATTTGACCTTGGGATAGGAACGTTTAGCCAACAGTCACAAGGTGCATCTTGCAGGAACAAGTTCTTGTAGTCAAACATATTAGCACTGCTACATGCTTCATTTTCTCACAGATAAAAGGAAATACAAGCCCCTTTCAAGTGTTCCTACCTCTCTCCTGATCTAACTAGCTTCACAGACTATATTGATGGAACATGAGTTAAAGGGCATAGGGCTAAGCTGGGCATAAGGGATCATATCTGCAATCCCAGCACTTAGGAATTCTGAGGCAGAAGGATTGCTGCAAAGTCAAGGCTAGCCTTGGCTACACAGTAAGTTCCAGATGAGTAAAGCAGTTGAGACAAGACTCTGTCTCAATATCATTTTGAGAAGACCCAAGGCTGGCCATGCCTCCAACTACAGTAGAACAGCTTTATGTGTAGCCTACACACCTGCTCCCCTCCTACTGCTATCTTGTGCCCAAATTGCCTGATGTAAGGAGAGCTGATGTGTCCCCAACTAGTGCAACTGAGGGCTGTGCTGACAGTGGCCATGCACACTCTTTGGGCTAAGTCAAGGATAGCCGGTGTCTCTTTGAGACTCTGATAATTCATTCTTTGGCCACTAGAAAGTGCTAGCAGAACCCCAGTACTCAGAAACACAATGTTTGAAGGGTGACTCCTGCCGTGTGTGTGTAAATGTTCTCTGGGTAATGAAGAGAAACAGGCTTCCTGACAAACTAGCCAGCACCTAGCAACCTCAGGCATCCGGAGGGTGTGGATCAAGGGCAGCGAGAGAGCTAAACTCAAGCCTCAGGAGCATTTAATGGATAAACGACACATGACACACTGGATAGACACCGCGTATTTGAAAGACAAACCAAGCAGATGATTTGCAGCTGTTCCCTAAGGTTGTGTCGGTTTGAAATCAATATATTTTCCTTTTTCGTGTTCCTTGCTCCAGTGTTTATGAAAACTTCAAAGTTGAACTATGAACCAACGATATAACAACAAAAGAGAATAAGAAAGCAGTGTCTTTAATGTCTTCTTTTGAAAACCTGAGTTGAAGCCCTTTCTATCATTCTAAACAAATAGAAAAGCAGCCAGTGGCTGTCGTTATCACCATCTTTAAAAAGTGTGATAGCTGTTGGTATTTCTAACTGTATATATATATATATATATATATATATATATATATATATATAAATTTGAGTGGTAAAGGTAAATTTATTATAATGCTTCTATAAAACTCTCACAGAAAATCATTTTGCCAATTAATAGAAAAAAAATAAGATCTGTACAAGTAAGAGAGCAAAGGAAGTTTTAGGCTCTTGCCTTAATTGTGAAAATTGTGAATAAGTACCCCAACATTGTTTTATGCCCCACATTGTTCCAGACAGGAGAAGGTTCTAAAATGCATGAGAAAATCACAAGACACAAAGACATCCACATCACACCACAGATCACACCAGCACAAGAAATGACCAACAAGACAAAACATGGAAGGGCCAGGGCTCAAGCGTCACCTCACAAACCAAAGAAAGACACACGGAAACTCACGAGGGTATGCTTACTCTATGCCCCACCCTGTGCCTCCAAAAATCACCCCCAGGGCCAGAATGGTGCCAGCCACAGCCCCTATGAGCCTGCTTGTGGCCATGTTCACTGTGTGGAGGGAAAACGGAAATTTTTTTTTTTAACAGAGGAAATCACACACTGATTTCACTATCATACAAAATAATCTCTCCAGGAAATGCACTGAAAGTTAGCTAAATGTGGATATCTTTGCTTTTAAAGTTTGAAACTGAGATGGACATACACTGGAGAATATATGAAATAATTTTTATCTTCAAACTCTATATACCCTGCTTTAAAGCATAATTCCTTTGAATATTTTTAAGTAGCCCAATTTGAGTTATAGTTCTTAGCAGTATGAAGTAAAAATTTAATTATATTACAGAAAATCTGTATTTTAATTATAAACTAAACATTAATGCATAATATTTTCAAACTGCAAAATATGCTTAACATCATCTAAATGAAGAACACATTATCCAATTTTTTGAAAAGACATTCAAAAAAGTAGCTTTGAAATTCTGTGCAATTTTCCTGTGAAATTATTAAAAGGTATATTCAGAATAACTACAAAGTTTGGATTTCAGTCATAGGAAATGGACATTTGGTTCTTTGGCCATAGAGTCCAGCATCTATCTGTGTGCTGAGAGGAAGCCAGCATCTCTGAAAACTGTAGAGGTTGCTGTAGGACCAGCAGACGGTTATTGGTGCACAGCAGAAACACCGTGCACCGCCACTTCTGTGCAAAGCTTTCAAGTGTTGGAAAACCGCCCTGGAACAGGTAAACACCCAACACTTTCTCTACAAGACTACCCACATGAAATCAGATAATTGGAACAGGAAGGAATATTATTTAGGGTTGGTTATGTCTGTAAGGGAACTGGTTCACAGACACTCAGCTTTTGTTTCCACATAAATGAAAGGCAGTGAATGCCGAGGACCTTACCAACGGCAACAGTTCCCGTCAACAGGACTGTATTACACAGACTGAATGAACACAGGGGAGCAGAACCAGGAGCGGAGAGTCACAGCCGCACTGTAATGGTTCCTAGTGCTC